AACTTAGCACGTCTGTATTTTCTCCTTGCAATTTAGTGATAAAAAGCACAGTGAATGTACCTTTTCACTTTTTGAAGTACACATAACACTCGGATTTAAATCCGAGGTTTTCGCATTTATTTTAATCTTTCTTGACAAAATACGAATAGCTCGTTGTCGTGTTTCTCAAGTTAATAATTAGAAGATTAGTACCAATATCGACAAAATTCGTATTTCATTAAATAGATAAATCTGTGCAACAACATATTAGTCGATCTACGGAACAGTCTCTGGTCTAAAACAGAGAAATAATCATAAGACACATTGATTCAATCGTAAAACTGTAGACATAATTTCATCGTTGAATTTGTAAAAAAAAGTTTTTTGACCGACACTGAAATCGTAGAAATTTCTAGACGTTCTACTTGCACCTCAATTGTATTATTTCAATGATCATTGAGTATTGAAATTGAGAAGAAAAAATGGCAAACATCAATTGGTTGTCAAGAAATTGTTGATTCAGTTACACTAGTAATGATGAAATATGCTATCGTAAATATTTAAAAATACTGATATTATATTGTTAATGTGATACTTGACCAAAACATTAAAAAAAATGGAGAAAAAAAAATTAAAAAGTTCATCAATCAATCATTTTATAAAGATGATTATCAGCGTGTATCGATTGCAAAGAAAACGCGACGATTTTCCATCAGCACATGAGTTACATGTATATATATAACATATGATATAAAAGAAATGAGACAAATGCCGAACTCTAGTTATCTTTAAGAGAAAGATGCTGAAAGAAAACTTTGTTTATAATAGAAAGCTTGAAAAGTTTTTTCTCGATCTTATCTTATATAATTTGTTCTAATTACACATTTTTAAATGAAATGCTTCAACAGGCAATAAAAGTATCCTTAACATAAGTCCACAATTTTTCTATTAAATAATCTCACAAAATGTCGATCCTTATATCTTTGTGATAAATAGGTTATGAAAAGGATATTTTATTCTTATAAGATTATATGAAGTTATCTTTTCTTTAGAATAATGTATAATTCATATTGCTTATATATCGGTAAGTGAAACGGAAAACACTCGCGCAATAAATTTATTATTTATATAACATTGTCAATCATATCTTATAAATGATAGTTACTTAGATATAATTAACTGCCATTTTTCATGATGTTGTTAATGATTTTCATAAAAGTAAAAGTAACTATCATTGTATAAGATCTTTATAATAAGTCCATAAAAATCGAATTAATGGTTGTCTGACAAGAGATTTTTGAACAGTTTATATAAAAATTACAAATTTATTGCCCAATGTTTTTTTTTCTTGTGTTATTCCACGTACGAATGTGTGATAAATATAAATTACATAGTATTTGAAAGAGAAGAAAATTTCCTATTAACTGATAAGAAAATATTCTTTTCGAAGCTTAGTAATCGAATAAATATAGGGATCAACTTGTTGCGCCGTTTTTCTAAATCTTTAAAAAAAAAAAGTGGATTGTTTTTAAAGGTACTTCTTTCTCTGTTGCGTCGTTTCATTTATGAGTCTGTATTAAAATAAATTATAGACGATTCACAAGAGCAGCAATTTTCGCTCAGCACCCTTTGAATGAAGAGAAATAGAATTCGATAGTTGTCTCATTACTTTTGCACACTACTTCATGTACAATGATTTTCATAGTTTATTATAAAAAGTGAGAAAGTTAGTTAGCTGAGAAATAGTAGTATCAAGATGTTATACATGCACTACCTATCGATCTGTTAAACACACTATAATGTATTTAATCTTGTTTTTTTTTCAAAGTGAAAATAATCGAAAGATGGTTATGAAACATCAAATGTAATTCGCATTTCATACAAACGTTTCGAAGAAATTTTATTTTCCTTCCATGTATAATCTTCGTTGTAATAAGCCGTTTTTGATAAATAACGTTATTGGTAGAGTGTTCGAATACTCTTCAAAAAATAATTTATTAAAATTGTGTCCAAAAATGTACTTTTCAAAACTAATATATAATATTCTTGTTATTACAATTAATTAGGGAGAATAGTTTGAACTTGTGTCAAAAAAAAATATTTGTTTGATCCTATTTTGAAGGTCTATGGGCTCTAATTGAGACACAAAGATTGCCTCATTAACCATAACAGTTGTCTAGAAATTCAAAATAATTATCAATGAAGAGTATTTTCTTTTTGTTGATGAATGATTATTGTTTGGTTATGAAAAGCTAGGGAAGAATATAAGACAGTAACAAACATTTTTAAATAAAAATACATCAATGGAACAAGCAAAGCATAACCATTATTTCACTTTACTATTAAAAATATTTTTTTCTTTGATACGAATGCATAGAATTTTTTTGCAGAAACAACAAATATTGACAAAAGGTCTTTTATTCAGTCTCAATTAGTGCGATGAGAGTTTTTATCAGCACACGATGAAAAATTAATCTGTCACTTAGTCACGTCATCGCATTAAATCTGTTCATTCATATAATTAAATTTAGTTGAGATAATTGTGTTTGCAGGATTTGATAACATAATATATGAAACAATTTTTTTTGACTGACGCGTTTAACTCACTATTACATGAGCCCCAAAATCAATCTAAAAATCGTTGTTTTAGAGGAAAAAAGACTACTTTAGCTCTAGTAAAATGAATGATATATCCTTCTTTATTATATTCCATAAAAGTGTCCTATTTCTTTCGCATTATATTGTTCTTTAGACTTGACCAACTTTTCAACTGAAAAATTCTTTTGACTTTTCTCTGGCATTTTGCAAACCTAATGCTTTTCTGTCATCATTAAATTCCGGATACGCTCCATCTATAACATCCGCATCGACAGCTTCATTATCAATCATTAGGTTAATAATAAGAGCAGCAAACCTTCAAACATAAGCATTTTACTTTCTTGCATATATATATATATATATATAGAAATTATTAGTGTAATATAGAATACAGTCAACATGGTCTCGTATCTAGCAGTTCAACTCGCGTCAATACAACAATATATGGGATGGATTATGATAATCTATATCGTGTTCGGTAATATCGGCAATCTATGCAACTGTCTTGTATTTCTTCGAAAACAACTTCGATCAAATTCTTGTTCATGTTATTTATTAGCAGGTTCTATTTCAAATATTATCGTATTGTCATTTGTTACATCGACAAATATTTTTTCAATCGAGCAGTTCGATCCCACGAATAATTCATTAATTTATTGCAAGTTACGCGCGTACTTTTCGCATATTGTTATTAATCTTTCACGTTTCTTGATCGTACTTGCCTGTTTTGATCGTGTTTGTATCTCCTCCAGTAAAGTATCAATGCGAAATCTTGGCAAGGTACCAGTAGCTTTAAGAATTATTTTTCTCACGATTGTGTGTTGGTCTTTGATTTCTGTCCATGCCCTCGTTTGGAATACGATTAGCAATGGTAAATGTATAAAACCAGGTCTATACAATATTATTTTTGGAATTTATGTTTTTATTGTTATCGGAGTTGCACCACTTATATTAATGATCACATTCAGTTTGGTTACATGGCGTAATATACGTGTCGCACACCGTCGTGTTCATCCGGCATCGACTATTAGTAGCATGCGTCAACGTGATTTTCAATTAACGCGAATGTTGGTAGCAGAGGTAGTCGTATATGTATTGTCTACAATACCCTTTCCAGTCTATTCCTTTTATTCTTCTGTAACAATGTCGATCAACAAAAGTGTTGATCAACAAACAATAGAAGCATTCATTAATTTTATTGCAACTGTTTTTATGGTATATATAAATCCATCATCGACATTCTACGTATACTTGGCGACATCGAAAACATTTCGAGTTGAATTTAAAGCAGCTGTTAAAAATATTTGGCATCGAGTTCTTCGAAGAAATCAACAGCGTCAACCTTTGAATGAACCTACAATGATGCTCGCCACTCGATTTTTGTAAAACATGTAAACAGTCACACATAATATCAAACGAAAAGCATACCTAGTTTTGATTAAATCAATATATGTAGAGCTTCGTTAGTTATTGTCATCAGTTGGATAACTGTTCAAAAGGATCTGTCATAGTTTTATTCATTTTCTACCCACAAATAGTCACGGACGGAGAGAGTGCGAATTTGTTTCGATGCAAGAATCCTACATTCTGAGAAATTCGACGTTTTGAAGATATTTCTTGCGAAGATTAAATGCCTTCTTGAACATTATGACACCCAGATAACTGGAAAAAAACTTGTCTATAGGTGAAAAATTAATGAAGTTATTACAGATCCCTTTGGATAGTTTTTCAAAGGAGATATTCGAAAGCATAAGTCAGTAAGGTCTGCATGTAAAATTATATGTAAATTAGTTAGTTTTCTCTTTCAAGTATTCGTGGACGTCCGAGTAGTTTTGTAAATATCCGTTTGTTTAAGTATTAAAAAAAATATGATCTTATCTCACTGTTGTTTTGTTGTTAAATTTAAGTTGATGTTGTGCATATTATTAATAAATGTCGAGTAACCTGCTATGTAAATGTAATTGAGAAGTATCGTATAAACAGTAAGATGATCAAGAGCATAGATGAATGCATGGTCTTTCTTCTTTGGAACATACGTGTGTTGTTTGCCAAGTTGATCAAGGAAAATATTTTGAACAGTAAAACGTATTAACTTAGATAGAAAAAGAAAACCGAAAGAAGAATGCACACATGTTTGAATGTAAAGTCAATCGGGTAGTGGGTGGATATTGGTGTGAGATGATTGATAGCTATGAGTTTTAGTATTCTCTTTATTCACACGAATATTCATATCCTTTTTTACACAGATGAAGCGTCATGAGAAAAATCTATCACGTTTATAGTTCTCCACTTCAAACGATTTGATCGTGATTGCGCTAGAAATTTTTTTTTAATCATCACATTTACCCACGGATATGTATGCATTATCGTAGAAGCTTTTCAAAATACACCAATGGAGATTTTAACAAAAAAATGTAATTGACCTCAAAACAAAAATATTGACTTTAATACTACGCCATAAATTTTTGTATGCAACAGCGTGTGACAATATGAGTTCCACTCACACGTACAATTCAGTAAACAAAACATCAATTTATACAAACAAAAGCCTTAAATTAAATTTGTGTACCAGCGAAAGTTATCTATTCACATTTTAATTAATATTTTATTACAATTTAGATGTACTAAAATGCAAATATTTGCTTGTGAAAACTTAAAACGATGCGATCTTATTAATAGATTACTTTGAGAAAACGCACATGTTATTGTCTCACACGTGTCGGGTGAGGCTACGACAAAGTTTTGAATTTTGTAGTGGATCTGCAGTCTGAACATTTTGCAGATACAAAAGACGCTCTGAATGCTGTGCACATTTTAGGTGCGAGTGGGGTGTAGATCTTCTTCTCAGTCACACTCACACTCCGATTTTGATTAATGTATTATTGCTACAAACAGCAATCAAAAAAGAAATTGACAAAAGACTAAAACTCGTTGTCTCGTTGGTTGACATTCTTTATTTTTATAAATGAATTTTCATTATATTCATTTGTGATCGATAAGAAATCAATCTCTTACCAAATGTCACATTGAAAAACTAATGAGGGAAAATCAAAAGCGTTCTTTTTATCGATGTACTTAGAATGCTACTGACTAAGAATGTCTATTTTATAGAGAGAAAATGACACATCGATTGTGTTTTAGTCTTTTCTTTCACAATTTGCGACTGTATTGTTTTTTCTGCTATGTGATACGATGTGCAGCGATAAAGCAAACATATTCGAAATTGAATTGTGTTTGAAGATTGCATTTGGCCTCATTTTTAACTTTAATGTCAATGTTTCGTTTTGAATATTGATACATTTCTATAGTATGTTCATTAAATTTTCTTTCAAAATTGGGTCTATATTTAAAACAATTGAAAATTTTTGGAGACAGTCTTTTATTATTGATAGCCTACAGTGATTTTGTGACGATCGGAAGAATATTTATTCATATGAACAAGGATCATGTCAACTTTGATGATAATCAAGCAAATGACAAATGCTTGTTTCAAGTTTAGTAGCACATTTTAGCAGAGAAATGACTTTTACACCATTAATTGTCGTCGAATAGGACTTTTCATTATGGCAATCGATGAAGCTTATCAAGCTCTACTTGGAAGTCATTTTTTAAGCGAATCATGACGAATTTCTCTAAATTTTTTGTGATTTTCAACAAGGATTCTTGGAGTTGATAGAGATCACTGAACTCTGCTTTGAAACTAAAAAGCACGGTTGTAAAGGTGTTCTGGACGAATCCGAAACTAAGATATCCTACGCTGGCCTCAGTGTTTTAGATTGTTATCTGATCGCAATGTTGTTGACAATGTTTCTCAATTTTTTTTCATGATTATTGGCGTATTTCAAGAGACTAGATTAGTCATGGCAAAGCAATATCTTGTCAGCATTGCAGCCATTCGAACATTAGTCAAATGTTGGTACTCTTATCTAAAGAGAATTAAAACACAATCTCTAAAAGATACTCACTTTTTGCAACATATAACTTTCATCTATGTGGCGAGTCATTGATCATCAACAGTATTCTGTGCAGATTACTATTGGAGATTGACGATTAATGGTCAACGGCAATCATTGATAGAAAACGTGACACTTGGCAATATCTGAGAGAACGAGTTCACTCTTCAGATCCCCGAATAGAAGAAAAACTTATCTATATTCTAAATCCTGAATTGACGAGAAAATAAAGATCAATTCACTAAAACTACTCAAACATTTCATTTCCACATGACACACACAATAGAATACCGATTACTTTCTTCATAAATAGAACGGAGTATCAATTTTATCGTATCAAATCCCTAATTTCCGTAGTACAGCTTAATCGGACATCGATGTCTACCCATCGTATATAAATCACCCCAATCTGGCAGCTACTTCAAACACATTCTCATCACATTTATTTGAGTGGTAAGTCTGATTCGATACCAAGTAATGAAATTATAGACTTTTTGTTTGATTTGCAGAGTGGTCAACTGTATATGACAAAGACTGGTTCGTTAAATCAGCATATCTTTCAAATTACAAGGAATATCGACTCATGTTAGGAAAAAATTGGCATTCGGTCAGGTTCAGAAAATTGGCACTTTCATTCGTTCTTGATGTAACTTTTTTCCGATTTGCTTGAGAATCACCACTATTTATTGTTCTTCATGAATGTTTTTGAGACGCAATTTCAAAACAATTACTATTATCGAGACGATGAGTTTTATTGTTCTCATGAAATGATATCATAAAAAAGTTAAGCCTTTTTTTATTATGTACTCAACTGTTTTCAGTCTTGCTTTTTCTAATTTGTCAACTTCAACAAGCAGAAGTGAAAAAAAATTATTATGTAAAACAATATGTATTTCAGTAACCGAATAAAATAGAGAATAAGATCGACCCATTTTTTAATAAATCATTTCAAATTTTCATCGTTTTATTCACGTTCTCAGATTGAAAATGAAACAAAGTTTTATGATTATATTTCTGTTGCATTTGCTAACGCGATGCAACGCATTCTATGCAATCTAACTTAATAAAATTTAAAAATATGAATGTCTTGATTTGATTAAGGTAACTGGCCCAATTACATAAATCCGAGTATCACAACAACTGGCTCAACTGGAGCAGCCCAAGTCGAAATTTCAACAGTCAGTAATGTTATGGTCAACTGTTCAATACCAGAACAATTTCGTTGTCAAGTAATTCAAAATGTTAGATTATTAATGATTGCTGCCAGTGAAAGCTCTCATGTTGTTCAAGCATTTGTCTTCAATGACGAATCAGGCGCTTCTCTATCAACATTGATCATTGTTGCAAACAAGATCGATTCGCCATCAGATTCAAATTCATCTGTTGCCACTCGGTACGTAACCATCAATACAAATGTACAAATCAAACAATAATATACTCAGTATTATACAAAAAAATGTCATAAATGTATCAAATGTGAGTAGATGTCATGCTGCTGTTGCCATCAAGTCCTGGAATAGGCACCACATGGTAACACACCAGGAGAGCTGAATATCATCAAACAAAAACTGGTTGTAGACCAATTTACTTGGTTCAATCAACAAGCATTCAACGCTGCATTCAAACGTACTATGTCCAATAGCAATAGTATTCATCAGAATTATGTCGGTTCGATCGAAGTGATCGAAAAGTATCTTTCAAACAATATCTTCAAAGGTGAAGCTTTGGCTGCATACAATGATTCGATTCTAACAACACTGCAATCCAATGTTGCATTATTAAAATTATCAATTCAAACATTGAAATTGAGAAAAATCGCAAGTGAAAATATCCAAATATTATTGACAACATAAATCAATGACTGTGGATTCGATGATATCTGGATATTACGTCACAGGTTTTGACTGAAACGTTATTATTCAATAATACAAACACCTCTCAGATTGTTCACGGTAATAGACAATTGAAAATTGTGCATACATTATCGTTGACTGACAATGATCAATTTGCTCACAAACATCTATTGACATCGATGACACCATAAACATTACAGATGACTAAAGCTGCATTGAATATTTCATGCTTCATTAGTGCAAGCATCTTAGCTTTACAAAAATATCAAATGTTATCATATTTTCAACCAGAACTCACCTCATCAAACCTTAATCGTAAACGAGCAATAGTAGCACAATATCACCAAGTTTCCCTGATAAAATTAGAAGCTTAGTAAATGCTATATCTGTTATCACGAATTCGACTAAAGATATTATCAGTATCAGCAAGTCAAGTAATTCAACTACTCTCACTCGAATTATTCGAACAGGCTTTACATATTTTCAACATAAATCAAGAATTTTAAAAGTTATCAATATACCAGCTGAACGAGCAACAAAATTCACTAATGCCATTATTATGGATTATAATATTTCATTGCAAGGAAGTTTTATGCTTGGTTTAACATATATGGATGATTTTGTCTGGGATTATATTGAATATCTCTATTCACCGGCTATGAATGGAAACCATCGTTCATTAACATTGTTCAAAAATGGTGATAATCAAACGAATACGGCGTCTTTTTTTATTGCGGATATTAATGCTGATTGGTAAATAGCACCGAATTTGTTATTAATTGAGAAGCGAAGAAGTATACTCGGTAGTCTGTTTGAAAAAACGAAACAAACAATACAAGAGGTACCTCATGTGTTAACATTTGAAGAAGCTACTCTAGGTATCAATGCATCCTAACCACAATTGAAATAACTCTTCAATTCAGAATGAAAGTTATTGATTAAGACACACATGAGCACTTTTTCTTTCATAAAAAAACAATATTTTATTGGTGCTTTTAATTTTCATTCAAACAAGTTTTCTTCATACTTGATCGAATTCAATAAAAAAAAAACTCTCAGTACTGTGATCAAGCCCGTTTATGAAAGAAACTTTTCAAGGCATCGTATAATCTTTTATAGAACGAGAGAAGCGTTGCCATATGTATGTATGAATACAGATAAGGAAAATGATTGGGTATTCTATGGACACTTCCAGACATTCTGTGCGTATATTACGATTGGTTTAACAATCGAAAGAAATCAATGAGCTATTAAATTAACTTTCAAAAGATAATGATAATGACTAGTTGAAAATCTTTCTGGTTTTATTTTATATTGATCTAATTATTGTAACAAACAATCAGTCATCTGAAGATGTCAGTAATGAGTAAAACACATAATTGTACAGTTGTTGGACGAATATGCCATCACAACATGAACAATAATGGCTATCAATTTGAAGGTGAAAAAATGTAAGAAAAAAAGCGAGAGGTTTGTAAAAGATGCCGAGCCGTTTCGTTGACAGAATTCTTTTTTTTATTTCGTTGACAACTTTTTCTTTCTGTGATAGACCGCAATCTAATAGTTAAATATTTGGTCGACTGGTTAATGTTCAATTAATTAATCGCATAGTGAATATTTATTTTTTAGAAAGTGATCTTCGAATAGATTAAATCGATAAATAATGATGATAAAAGAAACATGAAAAAAAAAAATTTCAAGATTTCTTTCTTTATTTGAATTGAATGTTGATGTTTCTTAGTTGGGTGGCTATGGTCTTCTACTTTACTCATATTCACATTTACCTCAATTCGAATAAACGAACAATTTAGTAAATTCTAGTAGGAGTTTCGCTTGATTTCGAAATGAATTTTATTTTTTCATTATTGCTTTTGACTGCAAAGACTTGAAGAGTTTTCATGTGAATAACTATAATACTATAGAAAATAAAACGTGGGACAAGAACATTTACATGCTATTTACAGATTTCAAAGAATTGAAAAGTTCTTTTTCCGTTTTCTGAAAGTCAAGGATTGAAACTTTTTCCCTTAGTGTCGAAAGTTAATTGCACGTAGCAATATAAAGAGCTAAGCTTTTGAATTTATGTCTTTGGTCTGATTTGATATTAAAAAAATTATTTCCTCCAAAAAACAACTACAACCTTGTTTTTTTAAATTACTTCCGTTAAAAATCGCCTCCTATTTCTCTAACATTCGATGTCTTAGAGATAAATACTCATATGTTTTACTGGAAAAAAAAACATTTAGGAAACAACTTTTTTTTTGTAGATAGCCGATAGGTCTGGAACATTAATGTCTTTACCAAGTTGGAATATAACACGTCATCGATCTCATTCTTGTCGAGAAAAAACTACTCGTAAGTATTTATAACCTGCGGCCATAGAATGTTTTAATTCTATTAATGTTACTAAGGAGCACCTCGTGAATTACATCGTCAAGAAATTGAACGTATCCAACGTCGTTACGAACAAGAATTAAGTAAAAGTCAACGGGACTTACAATGGGCAATAAATCAACGAAATGATTCTTCATTAGCAAGAGAATATATTAAAAATCTTCGAGTTAAACTTAAAAATGATTATAATCAACTTGTTCAAGTAGGTGAGCATTGATATTTATCATAGAAAAAGAATTATATAAATGAATTTTTTTTGTCATAGGAACAAGTTGAAGAAATTGAACAATATATGAATCAACGTTATAATGAAGAACGTCGATTATATCAACGAAAACTTCGAGTAAAATATAAATTAAAAAATATAAATTAAAATTTATTCTTCATTCAACATATGTAGAAAACACAAATGGAAAACGAAAAATTTCGTAAAGAAATAGTTAATCAAATTGTTCGTGAACAAGGTGCTATTTGTGATGAAAAATTAGCTGTTCAAAGAAGGTTTGAAATTTCTACTATCATAATTTTTTCTTTTATCTTTACTGATTATTTAAATACTAGTCTTTATAATCGTCTTCTTGATGAACAAGCAGGACGTTTACGTGCTGAACAAAATCTTCAATCATTTGAATCTCTTAATATAGAACAATTAAAAGATCGATTAGCTCGTGTAGAACATTCAAATTATGAATTACAACAAGTTATTCATGATTTAATAATTAATCAAAAACCAATATATAGAAGTGCAGTTTATATACCGAATTTTGCTGTTTAAGCATTAGTTTTATATATTTTTCTTTTTTTTTTTTTCATTTGGAAAATTTTATATTAGTTAATTTCACCGGTTTTTGTATTTCAGATTATGTCTATTTCATCATCGACTATTAAAAACAAGAAAAAACATGTAAGTAAATCAACCAAAAAAAAAGAGAGAACAAATTACAAGAAAAATATTTGACTTTTTCTTTTATTTCTTCATAGATCAGTCAAGTTACAAAATCAAATCACATTGAAAATATCAAACCAATTGAAGTGAAATGTTTTCTAGATGAAAATAAAATAACTATTGAAACGTATAGATTATTTTATTTTGTTAAATTTTCTATTAATATAAAAATAGAATTTTATTCATAGTGAAAAACAACAAGCAGATATTACTGCAACAATGATGACAATTATACCTCAAGTAAAACGTCTAACAGCAAGTGCTCCATCAAAAAAACGAACTGTTACTGCAGTGACTGATATGGTTATATCAAAACCAATTCGTCATTTAGCAATACTACCATCAGCAAAAGAACAATTGAAAAAAGAAATTACTAAACGTGCAACTAATCTATCAGGTAGAATTTTTTGAAGAATAATTTATTCTTTATTATTGAATTTTAGAAACGTTTACAATGTATGATGGTCCAACAACAACACCAATTGTTGGTCGTTCAATTGATGAAACATTGACAATGAAGTATGAGTTCAAACTTATGAGGAAAGTTTTTTTTAACTATTAGAAACCTACTGTCAGGATAATTTGTCTCACGAACATGTTAGTCTTGAAGGAGCATAAAAAATGAATGAGTGAAGTTACACAAAACATCTTTATTTATATCGATACCTGCGAGGAATTGGTCGGTCACCGAAAACTATTTATTTAAACTATGAGTGGATACTTATAAGACTAAAAAATGTCTAGAAATGAATACATGTTATATGATTTTTATTCTAGTAATCAAAATCAAATGCCAGATTCAAAGTGTGTATAAATATGATTGTTGTTTATTCTTTAGTTTGGAATGTTTTCTTTTTGTTATAGTTCTCAGATACCAATAAATATCGAGCTTACAACGAATAATACCAATTTATGTGATAATACAACACTATCAAGTGTTTGCGAACTTGTTGATCAAACGAAACTGGTATGAAACAGAGATATTCACAGAGTGACTTTTTCGCACAATTACCCTGGTCGGTCTACTTGAGCAGGACACTCTGCTGAGCTGTCACATTTTGAAAAAATATTCAAGAAAAAGAATAACACAAATTACATAAGTACGACACAAACCAATAAAAAAAAAACAAATAATTATTATTCTTTTTCTATGTTAGTTATTATTGCAGGATTAGATAGAATAGATCGAGTATATTTCGAAAGAAATGGAAATTTATATTGATGCTTGTTTCAAAATTTGAACAATAAATATCGATCAAATTCATTGCTTTTTCTTAGATTTTTTTTGTGGTATGAAGATCTCATCCCTGCTCTGTGAGCATTTCTGATGGATGCAAATGTTTAATTTGTTATAAATTGATATAGCTTTAATACAATATTGAAGTAAAATATTCTAGAATAATTATTATGGCATAAAGTTTTACAAAAAAAACGAGTTTTTATTCTACCATCATATATATGTTAAATCCGAACTTTGAAAACGTAAAGCACACATCAAAGTGACAATTATATTCAATAATTTATATTTGAAAAAGTTCCAAATGTTATATAAACGTTTAAATGATCATTGACTCTAATATAAAAACTAGATTTTCTTTTAAAAACAATCTTAAATACTTCTATTTGATTTTGTTCACATTGAAGCTATGATTAATTTCATGTGATTCTGTAAAGTCTTTCACAAACTTTATCATATTTGTAGAACCTAGATAACATAAGGAGACTTTACTCCTGTTTCGACCGTAAATTTTCATGTTTGCTTTTTTTTCTCTGATATATATATATGTTTCGAAGCAAGCATCCTCTATCTACTGGTATTTTTGAGGGACAAATTTTTTGATAAAAAAGAAATGAAGAATGTTCTTCATTTCTCAATCAAAATCACCTAGAATAAATTTTATCTCCTTTTACCAAATATTTTATTTCTAGCACCAAAAACCACATTCATTAATTGGTCGTTATCAATTATCTAATGTAGATACATCATCAAAATCTAATCCTACTGTTCATCTAGCTACTGTACATTATGATGAAATTCAACCACCAGAACTAACTAATAAACAAATTCTTATTCAACAATTTTATGCTCAACTAGAAAAAATGAAAGCAACATTTGATACAGAACAATCTCATCAAATAACTACAAATACATTTACTTTTGATAACGGTCAAGTAAGACAAACATCAGCTATGAATCAATTGAAAGAAAAGACTACAGTGACACGTGTATCAAGTGCAACTGTTCGACCTAATAATAATATGAAACCTTCAATACCAAAAGTAAGATTTTTATTTTATTTTTATACGACTTGTTAAATTTGTAAAAAGAAAAGCAACAACGTCTTTATTGAATTTAATTTGAGAGAATGTTCATAAAATTGCTGATGACTTTTTGTTTGATAAGGTCTAAAGAAAATTTCATTATTGTAATTGCTTTCATCGAAATTAGTTTTAATTAAATCAATAATTTTATGTATTCTTGTTAATGAATGCAAAAAACTTCTATATTCAAAAATTATCATCTTAATAGATAAATATTGTAATATTTCAAATACATCAGAGAGAAATTTTATATAGTGAAAATAATTCGTCCAAGAACAAAGGTATTTTGTAAAACAAAAAAAATAAATGTAAAACATATTTATTGACTACATTTCTTTCTCGTTGAAAAAAAAAAAGGAACTACGACATTAGTCATTATCATTGAGTACACCGACAAGTCTATATGTAGGTAGATAATAAAATCCTTCTGTTCTTTTTTTTTTCTTCCTTGGCGTATACACAGCGTGGATAATATATCCTCATTCCATCAACACAATACGTCTTTCTATTTTTGAGTGCTTCACATAAAGCATCTAAGCTCATCAGCATTCATGTTGCTATTATAAAAAAAATCAAGAGAAGAAAAAAGAAAGAAAGACATTTTTTTTTTTTTACTAACGTTTGTCTTAAATTATAGAAGCAAACAACAAGAAAAAATCCATCTTCTCGAGTCCAATCTGCACCAATTATAATGGCAACACAATCATCAAATAATGATAGAAATTATCAACGAACATCATCATGTAAACAACGTCGCAATGAAAAAACATCTATTCAAGAGAAAAAACCTCCTCATACTAAAGATAAACAAAAACGAAATATTGAAAGTGCACCACCAGTTAATATTGATATTCATGGACCTGAAGTTACATTATTACCAAATGATGAACAAGAATGTCAACAAATGTATGAAAAACTTCAACGTTTACAACCAGATGGTGTTTGTGTTGATCTTAATACATTACGCCGAGCACTTTATCCACCTGTTGGAAATGCATCATATTCATCAAATCATAATAATCATGATCAAACATCATCAGCATCTAAATCATATCGTCAACGGTAAAATTCTATATCAAATTTCTTTTTTTTTTTTTTTCTAAAATTTTCTTTTTTTTAGTACTGAAGAAATACCACAGTCATGGATGAATCTTGATGATAAATATGTTATCTCATATGTACCAAAACAACAAAATAAAACTCAAATAAAATCGGACGAATCTAATCTTATAATTGCATCAGATAATACAAATATTGATCGCATTGCTGATCAAGTTAAAAAACATGCAGCAATTAATTATAGTTACTATACACGAACTAAATGAAAATAATTCGATTTCTTTTCTGTCTTGTTATGCATTTTGTTTTTTTGTAAAAAAAATTAAAATAAAAGATTAAATGGCACAAGGGTAGAACCCAGCATGTGCAATGTAGTGTAAAATTATTTTGAATCCTTGAGTTGAATCTTGTAAAATGATTTATTTAAAAAATAATTACCATCAAGGAAATAAAGGCAAATTATGATGTTTTTTTTTTGTTGTTAAGGCTTGATCAATGACTTTCTTTTGTGTTCTATTTGTCTTACTGATTGATGATGAAAATAAATTCATGCTGACTTTTATAATGTTTGGCAATTGTTTCTCGAAGAAATTTATGTTTAGTTTTCAGCAGGGTGTGGCAAATGTATTTAGAATTTATTTTAAATTGTAATAGTGATTTTTAATTATGTAACAAAAAATATTATGAATATATTAAAAAACCTTGGTTTTATAAAATGATTTAATTGTATTATGAAGTTTACTTGATAATAGAGATGTGTTTCAGTTGTTATTTTATACATAAACAATAATAAATTAATTAGTTTTATTTTGTTCAATAGAATATATATTGCGACAATATTTTTTTTATTCCTAAGAATCAAAATAATTGGGAAAATTTTCCGCACGAGCAGGGATTGATGTGGGCAGTCTTTACACTCAAGAGTATATTGCACAACATGTATTTCTTATAATTATCGCATTAGAGCATCATGTATTAATGCTTAAGATGCCGTAAAAGCAAAAATTATAACGGAAGTAGGTTTTTTTTTGCTTCATATATGGTTAGATAGAGTCTCATAAGAGAATCAAGAATATGCGCGTTTTAAATGTTTTTTTTTTATGATTATATAGTTTTCATTTAGCTTAAATTTCAAAAGTGTCTATTTCAAATTTAGCGTGAAAAACTGAATCTAGAAAATTCATTTATAAATGAGTTTTCTAGATTTTATTTTTCATACTAAGTCTGAAACAAATACTTTTGAAATTTAAGTCAAGTGAAAATATTGATTTATTTTTTAGGAAGAAGCTATGTTTTCAATTTTTTTGGAATGATTTTATACGGGAGAAAATTTTTCAGTCTTTTTCATTACGCTGTCTAATTATACATGAAGAGAAGAAAGGGGAAAGAAACTTCTGCTATAATTTTTCATTTCCTACACCTTGAGCACTAATGAAATTAAAGATTACATTTGTTGTCTAAACAGCATAATCGTTATTTAAATCGAATTTTTTGATAACATACCAATTTACTGCCTATTTCTGTTGGTTTTACCCTTCATATTAAAATTATCAAATAAAAAACAAACAGTCAGAATCGACCTATACTAAAGAAAATTGATACTGAACATTGAAATTTGCTTCGAAACAAACAAACATGAATTCACTTATTCTTTGTTTCTGATTAACAGCAAATGAAATAGAGCAATCAGAAAAAATTGAAATGTAAACACTATAAGAATTGCTCGTTGTCTTTTGTTTGGAACTCTTCTCTAAATCTATGAATTCAGCTTTATTTTTATTATAACTCCTTTTTTTTAGGAGAATTTTTTTAAATGAATTTACATATTCTAAACTGAACTAAACTCTTATGTCAACAATAGCAAATACAAGGTTAAGATAATTGATATGTGCGAATCATGTTTTATAAGAAAAATGCTGAGAATCCAAATAAATGTGGACTTTGTTAATGTAATAACGGAGCTCCTTTTTTCATTTTTTCATTTTATCAGTTTCTATTTGATTATATATGGAGTGTTTTACATAAATTGTTTTTATTACCTAAGCGTGAAATTCTGACTTTTAGTTACACAGAAGAGGCAACTTCTTTCTTTATATATTACTTGGAAAAACTACATAAAATAGAACGTTTACAATTGTTTGACTTAACACAAAAGCTAGAAAATCCCTTAACAAGTAGGTAATAATACTTAATCATTAATAAAAAACAAAACAAAAACAATGTTTGATGTATTAGATCATGACTCGATTAATTATCTGCATTTCAATTCTTTCCTTTATTTTGATTCATGTTCATGGAAATAAACGAATGTTTATTCCAACAGGATTTCTTCAGCAGGCATGGCCAAAAGATCTCGACTTTCCGATCGATCATTCAGTATGTAAAATGATTATTTCAACAAAAAAAAAAAACAAAGAAAAATTAATAATTGTTTGTAGGATCAATCTGATGTTTCATCAATGCCTAATGAAGAATTTATTGATACAGATCGACCAAAAAGAAGTAAAATTTTAAAACATATAAAGTTTAAATATAAATTTATATATTTTTAGATTGTCTTACGTTTGCTCTCAAAAATCAACATCGATCTCCTAAATGGATGTGTTGGTAACAAAATACGACTATTCGTTATTCATTTAAATTGTTGTTCATTTTTAAAATAAATACAGAACAACATTTATTCATTAAATATATGTTTCACTCATTTAAATATATAAAGATGAAAAAAAAAAAAATCTAGTCGAGAATAATAATAAATTGTAGGAAACTTGCATATTCCTATATGTGATACAATTTTTCAACACAATATATATGACTTTTTCTTGATCTAACCATTATATAGAATGATAATGTATTATCGAATATTTAATTGTGTTTTTTGTCATACAATAATATATTGTACGATTCTAGTCAGAGTCTGGATTTCATTCTAAAAGATCTACGCAACATATTTGACAATTTTGGCAAGTTTTATTTTAAAACTATATCTAATTAGAATATTACTTTCTCATTTATTATTCTTAATCTGTATTTTTACATTTGAAAACAAGTCGTTTTATAATAGAAGTCACGTAGAATTGAATCATCTATTTCTTTATATTTAATATAATAAAATTAGTCAAAAAAAAATGGTATAATTATGCTGATTGCATAGAGCGCGCCAAAACGATTTGTTGACCTGACCCTTCTAACAACTGTAATTTCAGTGGAACTTTGTAATCTGATGCTTAGACATCTTTAGGAGCTTCATTTTATTTTTACATTTCTTTCAAACTAGTGATGCAACATGTTCTATGTGCATTTTGAATGTATCATGAGAATACTTTCAAAGAATGTTTTTTTTACATGACGAATAAATTGTTTTGGCTTATAAGGAAAACTGTGCCCATTTAGTATTAGCATGAAGGAATTTAATACCTTCAGATCGTATACTAATCAATTTTTTTTATTAATTTTAACAGATTACTTTTCAGCATTCGAAATATAACTTAGTCGGATGGTTCTCCGATTGATGTAACTGGAGAAACTTTTCAAGTTGTTCTAGCTATAATTGAAGCTGATTCTCATTGAACATGAAAATAAATATAAGATACACTGAGCGTCATTTCGTCAATGGTTATGCCAATTTTAATTGTCTGATTGAAGTTCAACAAAGTTTTGTGCTCAATGAATGCATTATCAATTCATTAATGATTGAAAGCAATTTTATATTGGATTAAGTTGTTATAGACTGAATAGATTTGAAGACATCAATTTCCATCTTGTATTCTACATTATCATTAGTGATAGATCAGTTTCTCGTGATGATAAAAATATAATAGAGTAGTCGAATGTTGGATCGTTACAAATTAATTCGTGAACATTGAAAGCTCATTGAAACAAGAGATCAAACGTTTGAAACATGCCAATCTTGCCCTGTCAATAGTTATCTAGTACAAGCTTTTCAAACTGTATCAGCAGAGAAATAAAAGACAAGTCTTTAAGATCTGAATTTTCACCATGAAAATCCAAGACAACCTGGAATATCAACAGATTATTATATAAAATCGCATTAAAATGTAATATTTTCAGTAGATCTTAACTTTTATCGAAAAATGACTAGCAAAAAAACTTTTCGAGCTTTCCTTTTATTCAAAAAATAAAACTTGTTAACGCTACCTTGATCGAATGATAATTAATTTAAATGGAAATGATAGTTTTAAAATTTTCTAAGAAGAAAATGTTCATATACATTAGTAAAAATAATTAAAAACATATCTAAATTTAAAATATTTGCGTGAATCACGGGAAGTACATTGTTTATTATGCAGTAATAGAATAAAAAAAAACTTTAGAACAAGCTTTCTAGATAATTGAATGAAACCAGAGCTCAAAATGAAACACTTTTTCATGGACTGACTCAAACGAGTTTACTATTCCAATTCGGCTCGAAGTAAATTGTCGTCATTGACATAAAACCAAATATGAAATAAGTTGATTTTGCTTGTTAAGTCAACGATTTTTTTTATTAGGATAATTCTATGAAAATTATACCACATTTCTGAATGAAAGTTTTTTTTTTCTGATTGTGACCACACAAAGGCGTAGCACATACTAGAAAATAATCTGTATATGGAAACAAAAAAATGTTGTACACTTGAAGTTTGAAGATCTAGCTTCTTCTTCGAAAACAATGTAGAATGCATATATATCAATCAAAAATTTAACAAAAGACAAAAAAGAACATGCTAGACACTCCGGATCAGATCAACCTAATCTAAAGATTTTTGTCAATCAGTTCGTCCGACATGAGAAAAAAAATCCTATGATTAGATGGCTTATTTCAAACCTTTCGTGGAACTTAGAATAATGAAAGTCATTGTTAAAATATGCAGCGATAAGTTAAAGTGACGCTTCTTGCCGGCAATCGATATTTATACATCTAATTCTCATTAATAATTGAAACTAGAAAGTTTCAAAAGGAGAAAAAAATTTTCAGCAAAAATGAATGCTTATTGCTTTTGAGATGTACAGCTCATTCAATTTATCTGTAAAACTTTATCTTTTTCAAAAATTCAATATGTCAAGAAATAAACTTTCATGTTCATCCAAATGATTATCTAATTCTTCAAACTATTTTCTTTTTGTTGAAAAATCAATTTATATTTACTAACAAATTTTAATGTTTTTCAAATACCTAGCATAATTTATGCCAGTAATATAAAGCTTAATTTTTCGAATGTAATAAATTGGAAAGTAGAGAGAGCGGAAAAAAAAAGAAGTTGTG